GCTGTCAGCTGTAGTGATGTCACTTCTCTAGTTAGTGATGCAAGTTGAGATCTTGCAGTGTTTTTGGTGAGAGCTGCATTGGCCCTCCAATCAATGCTCACTGAGCTCATCATGTGAGTAAAAGTGTGACTCTCAAGTTCAGGAACCCATTGCCCTTGAGCAGCCTGCTCTGGGACTAAGATATGAGCAGCAATATTGAATGTTTCCAGTGCTAGGTAAGAAAACATCCTAAGAACTGAATCAAGATGATAAACAAAATTAATAAAAATCTGTGAGGAAATATGAGAAGTTCAAGAGACACATTTATCAAGCTTTCATCACAACAAATTAAATAAGAATAGAGAACATATGCATTTGGACAAAAACAAAGCCATCTAAATTTTAATAACGGCACTGAATCAATTTCAAAACACACAATTATGTTAATTCAATCCTAACAATTTTTTCCTTGGCTGAATTTATAGATGTGCATTAGAATGTTTCCCCTCAGGAACCCCCCCACAAAAAGCTGAATTATGCTGAAAAGCAATGCAGGGAAGACCAGAAGAAGGAAACAAACGCATATGTAGTTTGGAGAGATAAAAAGTAGAAAATGAAAATCTTATTTGGCGTGTCAGGACAATTACACCCGTCTTTTCTTGCAAGAACACAACTCAAAATTCCACCAACCATTCAACTTCTTACATTTTTTGGCGAAGGTTAGGACTTCGAACCGAAGCAAAATGCATGAAAAACTGCAAAAGGAGCGAATATCAGCTACCTGAACAAAACTGTCCCACAAAATGGAAGGAACAGGTGTGGAGAAACGAGCAGATTGAAGTTCAGAAATCCTTTCAGCCTCAATTTTGTGTGCTTCTGAGCTGGGGAATGAAGAACTGAGTAAACACATTATGAGCTAAAGAGTACGCAGGCCACTGTCTGCATGCTGGGAGGTTTTACTGCTTTGCATTTTCTCTTTAAAAGCTGTGCTCTACTATAAACCTTCCCTCGGTGACATTTCTGCATTATTTATGCCAAAGCTGACATTTTCACTTCACGCCGGGCTCTCCATTAAATAAGAAAAAGGCTGACTCACTTCCTTAATGTACAATCTAGCACAGCAGTTAACCAAGTAATTTTTTTAAAAAAAACAAAACATTTGGACCAGAAAAAAGGGAGTTTTCATTTGACGTCCCGCTCAGAATTTCCTGTCGAGTTTTTTTGCATCTTTGTCGGTCAAGTCACGAGAAAGCCGAGCTGACTGTCCGGTTAATTAACCTCTCCGCCCAGGACAACTGTCTTCCGAGATTTTCTCCCGTGACCCTGCAGCGCATTCCAAAAAGCTGCAAGGAAGGAATTTAAATCCTGCACAACATTTCCCTGATAAAGTTAAAGATGAACCTTAAACCTTACTGTTTTTCCCCTTCTCTGCAAGTGTTTGATATGTGAATTTGTGCATTAGGCCCAGATGCCTCTGAGAGTTGACAACAGCAGCCGCAGCTTGAAGAGCATATTCTCCAGGTCACCCTTAAATCATTCAATTTCTAAATGCATGGAGCAGCTTCACTCTCTCCACTTAAAGCAGGTGGGTTCTTCAACTACAATAGGTTAGAGATCATTTGACAGAGGTCAAAACTTGATCCTATACTCGGTGTGCCCCACGTCTTACTGACCAGGTGCATTCATAAAAGGTAGGCTCCCACAAACTAGAACGTGGGTGGCATCTTTCTGGCTTGAATGTACATCTACAGTCTTGGCAGGTGTACTTGACTGAATACAGATCAATACTGCTACATCCAGCCATTTCATGGAGAATAACCTCAACCCTCCTGACAGGTTGCGTCACAGTGTGGTATGGCAACTGCAGTGCTGCTGACCGCAAAGCCCTACAGCGGGTGGTGAAAACTGCCCAGTTCATCGCTGGGGTTGCCCTCCCATCCATCCAGGACATTTATGACAGATGGTGTTTGAGGAAAGCTCTAAGCATCATCAAAGACCCCACACACCCCAGCTACAGACTGTATGACTCTCTACCATGTGGAAAACGGCACTGGAGCATTCGGGCCCAGACTACCAGACTCAGAGACAGTTTTTACCCCCGCACTATCAAACTATTAAACTTCCAGCCTCTCTCACCTCACCTCTCACCTATGGTCTGAACCTCACAGTGCCTTCTTTCTTACCAAAAACTTAAACACACATTGAAATCTACCTCTACCTTACATGTCAAAAAGCTCACTGCCCCTAATTTTCTATCCTTTTATTTCATTCTGTGGATGCATGTTTTTTAGCACATCTGATGTTGTTTTTGCACATTACCTGTTACTTTTTGTTGTTTTGCACACTGCCTGTTGTCTCTGTCTTTCTTTTATTATACAATTGTATTGTTTTTGCGTACTGTTTATCGTCTGAGAGCTAGCTAAATAGCATTTCGTTATACCATATACCTGTGTATGAGTATAATGACAAACTTGAACTTGAATACAGTGCAGTCCATAAGTATTTGGACAGTGACACAATTTTTGTTGTTTTGGCTCTGTACTCCAGCACATTGGATTTGAAATGAAACAATGACTATGAGATTAACGTGCAGAAAGTCAGCTTTAATTCGAGGGTGCTTCCGTCTATGTTGAGTGAACCACATAGGAATCACAGCCCTTACTAAAAGTAATTGGATAATTGGCTGCTCAGTTGTTTCTTGGCCAGCTGTGCGTCGTTACCTGTTTTGCCACCAGCAGTCGATTGCTGAAGCCTCACTGCCCCACTACGTTAACTTGCTTCCTCCGAACTTTGCAACACGTTTTAAGAGTAAAGAGTTTTTTTACACCCAAGATTGACAACAGCTCCCTGCATGCCTGCTTTTGCTGGTACATCGCTTTCTTGTCTCAACCTGACACTGCATGCCTTAGGAAGCTGGTATGGCTCATGAAACCCAATACCCGTCTGCCAGATCTTATTCCTTCCGTTTTATTTCAATCCTGTTTTCCAGTCCTCCACATCATCAACGAGCCCTTGAGATCCTGAAGTGGTACCAATGGCCTTTAAAATGGCTTCAGTAATGCCTATGCCTGAAAAACCAAATGTGGCTCTGGGCCACCTAAACAATTTTCATCCTATATCTAACTTGCCTTTTTTTAAAAGAAATTAGAACAATTTGCTGCAATACAATTTAACCATCACCTCATTGTAAAAAACCTCTTCATAACCTGCCAGTCTGGATTCAGGCAATTACACAGCACAGAAATTGCCCTTGTTAAAGTCCATAACGATCTTCTTATGGCAGCCAATGCCAGTTCTGCGTCAAAAGTGCTGCTTTTGACAGATTCTACCCCACTCTTATCTTCCTGATCACTGACTTTGTTTCTCTTGGGGGTCTCAGTTCTGAAGTTGGGTTTGTTAAATCAGGTGTTCTCCAAGGGTCCCCTGCTATTCAGCATTTACACGTTCCCACTTGGTCAGATACAAAAATCACAGTCTGAATTATAGTTTTTATGCCAATGATACTCAAATCTACCTCAATACTAAACTAGACACTAAAGTCGCTGATTCTGCACTCTCTGATTGTATCTTTTTACATAAAAACCTGGACGACTCAAAATTTCCTTCACTTCA